TTCAATTTAAATGGTCTGGCTGTCCCCACTGGGATTTCGTGGCTTTGAAACAAAGTGCTGTCCCCATACCAGAAGGCTTCTGTGTCTACAGCTTCCATCTGTACTGAGTGCTCTACTGCATGCAGGCCAGAGAGAAGTCTGGGGTTGCTCAGGTTCCCTGGGAGCCAGAGGGGTGCAGGAACCTTTTAGGCATAGCTGTGGTGGAGGGCTGAGCAGCTTATAACTGCAGTCACTCCCCTTGAAGGCTACATTGCTCCCCAGATACAAGGACTCCCAAGAAAGGAGGTCCCGGCTTTAGCGGAAGTCCCTGGACCATGCCAACTCCCTGCAGGAGTCGTTTGAGTGGAATCAGTGCCAATAGGCAAAACACTCCACTTCCTTGGTTCTGTGACTAAAATACACCAAGTACCCCACATTCTCTGCCTTAGACACTCCAGATGCTGCTCACAGAAAGCCTGGCAGGCTGAGAGAAAGGCCTGAATGCAGTCATACATAACCTTTTTCTCACAAGAAGAATGGTTCAACTCCCACCTTCTGTCCTCCTAGTGGAGGAGAAGGGGGGAAGGACTACCAGAAATCATGAGGTCCCCCTGGGCTCGTAAGACCCAGGTAGTAAAGTCATTCAGAGTAAGGCTTTGGAGTCTGACAGCCCTGGATTCACTACTTCCTAGCTGTGGACCTTTGGGGGTTCACCTCTATGAACCACAGTTTGCTCATCTGTCAATTGGGGATAATAATGAAACCACTTCACAGGGTTGTTCTAAAGATCCTACAGTAAGATGATGCATGCAAAGTGCCTAACACACAGCCTGGCACGTTGAAGAGGCCCCATAAGGTAGATGTAATAATACCGGCTATTGTTCTACAGAATTGTGTCCACCCACATGGGCCCTTGCTCTGACTGGCAGATCAGAATGATCATGCCCTTTTGTAGGACTGAAGAGTGATGAGGAGAAGGGCTGGCATGGCCAAGGCATGAGGGCCGAGATGGGCCGATGGGTGAGAGCCCCAGTTTATCCCCTCTACCTTCGCCTTCCCATGGCTTCTCAGTGGGGACCCCAGAGGCTCCCCCGGTTGTTCTCAGCCGCTTGATCTGGGCCATCTTGCCATTGGGGAAGTGGGTATAAGCTTCTGCTCCTCACATCCTCATCTGAGTACCCGAGCCATCTGACCGTAAGGCCCATTGGACCTCCTTTCCTAGAAGTTTCTGTTTCTGGGGAGCCCTGCAGCCTCCAGGAGTGATTGCAGTTATAAGCTGCTCTACCACAAGGCTCTCACATCCTGGCCCCTCTGGTCTGAGAATGCACAGCCCACAGCCTGCAGGAGGAGAATGTGTGCTCAGCCATGGTCCTTCAGTGGAGGCTTAACACCCATACTGCGCCACATGTGGCAAATGCACGCCGCCCCCTCGCCCCCCACTCCGCCGAGACAGATGGACCAGCTCCGATGCACTTAGAGATAAGCTCTCACCAGGTTTGTGATCCACATACGGTCTGATGATACTCATCAATTCTCTTGAAAGAGAGCCAAGGTTGTAATGTTTTAAACACACTTTGCATCTTGCAACGTAAAGTAGATCGATGTCATAAATTTGGATCAAATAGGTACCACATGGGTATACAACAATGCTCGCGGTGTCTAGGCAGCGGACCTGGCCCCAGGTGGGGCTGGGGCAGCACTGGGCCCATTGGCCACACTGGGCTTTGATCCTAACGGGCTGGTGGAGAAGTCTGCCCTGCTGGCCCAGCTGGCCTTCAGGAGGCTGCCAGACCAGGTCCAGCTACTGGGGTGGTGGTAGTGGTGGTGGTAGACAGAACTAATCATTAGCAAACTTCACAGGGCTGAGAAACATCTTTGCTGAGAGTTAAATTCCACCCGGTACTGGAAAAAAGGCCTCCCTGCATATGTGTCAAGTTGTCAGGACACAGTAGTTGAAGCAGATGTGGAGGGTCCCTCAGTTACCCCATGGGTCCCCTTATAGCCTGAACACAAGAGGCAGCCACATGGCCCCCATCCCTGCTTGGTGTTCCCACCCACAGGCACTCGTTCCTCCCCAGGGTGGGGAGCAAACTCATCTCAGCACCTGTAATCAGGTGGCCCTTCATGTCAGTGCCTCACTCCAAGTAGGGAGCAGAGAAGGAAGGAGAAGAGGAGAGAACTAATGGATGAAGGAAAGGCACTTGGGGGAAAACCCTCCACACCCCAGAAAAACCACATAGGATGGTGGTCTGTACACAGTTGGCCCAGTCTGGGTGAGCCCTTCCTGAGCAGACATTCGCTTCTGCACCAGGGCGAGAAAGGCTGGCCTCTAGGCTTGGATTCTTGAGACCTAGCTTCTAATTCTAGCATGATCGTTCACCAGCTGTGCAACCTTGGGCTAAGTATTAACCTCTCTGAGTGTATCTCTACAGGGGATAATGAGCTGGGCCATGGTAAGGACCGAGAAAGACACCAAATGATGGAACTGTGGCTAAACCAGAGATGTGAAGTGTCGCTGTGCCTATCCTTGGGCACCAGTCTCTTCATCTCAGAGTCCTGACAGGAAGCAAACTTCTGCCTGGACATGGTGATCGCTGGAATTAAGATGCCCACTGCCCCAGTGGGGAGGGCACTTGTAGTCTCTTAAGAGTTGCTTGATCTTGAGGAATGACCTCAAGTCCATGGGGGCAGATTCTCTGCTGCTGGCCATCAGTCCCCAGTGCACACCCTCTGGCCTCCGTTGGACGAGAAGGCTGTGGTTGATGACAGGACAAGGGTCCCAGCAGAATGAGGGCAGCACAGGGATGAGGGTGCTTGGACTACCTAGTGGCTGTAGGAGCACCTACTGCAAAGACTCAAGGACAGGCTGGTAGAAGTAGAGGCAGTAGGAGCCTTCCAGAAACGCTGAGAGGCGGTGACAGGGAGCTGCAGCCTCACGGCCCCTGCAGAATCCAGGACCACACCGGTTTTCTCTGCAAATTCAGTGGAGCCAGGGTTGACTGATTTGTCCCACAGTCTCAGTCCAGAATCGCCACACTCATGGGACCAGGCCCTCTGTCCTCATGATACTGCAGCCCTAATCTGAGCCCTCTCCATCCTCAGGACAACAGACCCCCAGCTCCTTTCTGGATGAACCAGACTTCCAACTGGCGGGCGTGTGCAGACACCCGCCACAGTACAGATGCCAGTTGTGGGCATTGCCACGACTCCAGGGAAACCTCTATTGGCCCTGCAGTTTCTTCGCAGCTTGAAATAGCTGGCTTGGCTTCTAATGGGAAAACCGACCCTGTGCTGCACCAGGAGGCAGTAAATTTTGTGAGTCTGCGTGAGTGGATGGAGACAACCACGGGGGCTATAATTTCCACTTCCTGACACAATACAAACTTCTCAGTTTATGCAGAACTAATTAAAGATCTCTCTGGTCTCGCCGTTTCATCCACCAAGCACCCATAAACAATGTGGTGATGGCAGCAGCCCGATTACAGAGATTACAGAGTGTGAGGAATGTGCTTCTCTGGAGTGATGCCTCCCTTTCCCAAATCCCCACCCCCTCCTCGTTCTCCCCCCATTCCTGCCTCTTTTCTTCTGGAAGTTTCTAGAGGCTTCCCAGGCGTGGTCTGGAGGGTAAGATGTGCCCCTTGCAGCAGGTGGTACCATGGGAAGGACCCAGGCCTGGACTTGAATTCCTACTCTGTCACCGATGAGCCAAAAGACTGTGGGCATGCCTCAGTTTCCTTATTTGTGAATAGGAGAAGAATAGTACCAGCCTCATAAGGTGGTCTTAGGATCAGAAATAAGGCAGGTCACGTTGAGACAGCCTGGCACATGGTGGGCATTTAGTAAGTCATGACTTTTATTAGGATTATTTTTATGTTATCATAGTTACTGTATAACTATGGGCCTTGGCTCAAACGGTTTCCCTGTCTAAAATGCCATTTCCCTTGAAATTTACTAGTCGGAGGACCACAGTGGTGAATTAAAAATGGCCACAAACACTTTGCTACGCTTCCCACAAGAAGTGGAGGCTGAGTCTCCTTCCACCAACCCCACTGACTCAAATGACTTGGCCACATGACTTGCTTTGGCCAACAGGACATCAGAAAATGTAATACAAGGGTACTGGGACCTGCCCATTTTGAACACTGACCTGTGCCTGCCATGCTGTAAGGAAACCCATGTAGTCTACCAGGGGCTGAGAGGCTGAGTGGAGAACAGAGGCACCCAGCCCACAGCCAGCATCAACCACCAAACACGTGGATGGACTGTCTTGGCCCCTCTGGCCTTTCCACCTGTGATCATATACGACTACATGAGCGAGCCTAGGGGAGACCAGCAGAACTCCCAGATGACCAGTCACAGAATCATGAGAAATACATTGTCATTTTGAGTCCGTAAGTTTGGAATGGTTTGTTACAACAGATAACTGATACACTTACCTATTCAACAGGACCGAGTTTATAGGCTGTCTTCTTCCAGAAGACTTCCCAAACTCCTGCTAACTGGGAATTAATCTCTCCACCCCCTGTAGTCACGCAGCGTTTTGCAACGGTAGCAGTTATCACGGTTTGCCTCCCCCAGGGTTATTTGTGCAGAAATCCTGTCTCTCTGGCCTGCGATCTAGCAGAGAGCAGGGCTCGGACTGACCCCCACTTCCCATAGCGTGCTCAACAAGGAGCTCTGCCTGGCTCTCACTTACCAGGCCCTCAGGGGGCAACGAGAACAGTACAGACACGGACCAGACACGGCCACCCAGATTGCTGGAAGAGACTCTTCTGGGTCGGAGGTCTGGCTGAGCCACTGACTTGCCCAAGGCCCCCCCTCCGCTGAGCCTCCTCCTCCCCCAGGTGGAGGCAAGAACTCCTGTCCAGCCAACTTCACAGGCATCATGAGGCTCATGCTGAGTGAGTGTGTGTGCAAAAGTGTGTGTGGACGACCAAGTTCAGACCCTGTATGCACCGTGGTAAGGCCAAACTTGGGTTACTACTGGGGGAGTGGGGGCATTCCTTCCCCGTCCTTCTTACCTTCCGGCCATGGTAGCCCTGGATCCCCGGGTCTCCCTGGGGGAACAAAGAGAAGACCGTTAGGAGGGTTTTCCCAATGCCAAACTTCAGCGTGCACGGTTCCCCTCACATTCCCATCCCTCTTCCTCCCCGTGACTAAATCCCTCCTGACCTCCACCACCAGCCATCCCTGGAACTATAGCAGAAGTGGTTCCACTCTTCAGAAAACGTCTCTGTCTTGCAGAAGCAGAGGGATGGTGGGAAGGCTCAACTCGGCAGGAGACCTGAGTTTCGGTTTTGGTTCTACCACCCATTCCCTGTCAACCTAGACCAGTCACTTTGCCCCAGAGCCCTCAGCTTCCACTTTTGTAAAATGGTTGGGCTTCTAACTGCTTGTCCCCAGAGCCTGAGGGTCCCCAGTTTCAAAGGGAGAGTCCGTTTGACATGATGGGCTTCCAGATAGGGTTTCACAAAAGACTAGGTGACCCCCAAGGTCCAATCCTGTTCTGACCCCTTAAGAAATGCTCTTTCATTAGGATGTTGTGACAGTGTCTTGAGCATCAATCTTGAGTTTGCAACTAGACTATAAGCTTTTTAGAGGTGGGAACTGCACCTTCCACACCAGCCATAGGACTTGCTCGGCTGAGTACACAAAAGCAGGACCCAATCCCTTCCCAAGAGGCGGGTAGTTTTGGAAGCGAGCCGAGCGTGATCCATCTCTCAGCTGAGATCCCTCTCAGCTCCTTACTCAGCACCCGTCAGCACCGCCTCCCCCTCCTTCTGTAAGGAACTCTTCCACCCACTCAGTGACTCACCTTTGGTCCAGGAGGCCCAGGAAAGCCCTGCAGAAGCAAGAGAAAGGTGAGTGGACATGGATTCTACAGTTGCAGTTAGTCACGTTTACAGTGGAGGTCGGGGGCAAAGCAGTGCTCGAATAGCTATGACAAGGTTTGGGAAGTGCTGGAGAACAGGTCTTCGGGAGGGTTTTGGAAACCTGCTGAGGGCGTGTGGGGACAACAGGCTCGTGTCCCTCTCTGGAGCCATGTGGGCGCTGTGGGCATCTCCTCTGTGCTTGCCCACTGGAAAATAGGTCAGTGGCATCATGTTAAATCGACGCTGTGGTTTGGTCTAGATCCCCACCCGCCCACTTCTTAATTGGGACCCCTCCCTGGAAAGCCAGCCTCGCCCATCAGAGCCTTGATTTTGCCTTTGGCCCTGCCAGGCTGCAGAGGAACCCTCTGTTTCCTTCCCCTGGGGTGCTGTGACCATGGCGGCCAGCGGTGGGGAGGTGGTGTGGGCTCACGGCCTGTGGGAGCCCAAGGGAGAGAGAGGCAAGGGGGAGGCTGGCTCCACTGCGGTTGTGGGAGCGGGTGTGGATAGCAAACACGGGCTGTAGAAAACCATGAGGCCTGAGCCTGGTCTGTTTCAATTGGTTTAAAAACACACTTTCTGTTTTTTTTCTTCATAAAAACCTAACAAATATAACACCCTGGCTTGGGTTCAGTGAGTGGGAGCCCAGTGTGTTTTGGGGAGGTTGGTCAGTGGAGAAGTGAATTCTGAGTACTTTTTTGATTCTTCTCAGCTTTGTTTGGTTCAGTTCCCTAAATCTCACTTCCTTTCAGGTTTTCTGATTTCCCATCTAGAAACGCATGGAAGTGAGACTAATCTCCTTTCCTGGGGTCCTGGGGAGAAATCATGGAAATATTTAAAATCCGTGTGGGCGTCAAGCTGGGCAGAAGAGCCAAAATTCCCAGCAAGCTAGGTTTTCACACTGCTGTGCCACGTTCCGGCTGATCTGGGTGCTGGTTGCCTGGAGCTGTCGCCCAGCCTAGAGAGGCGCCATACTGAACCTCGGCACTGGCGGCTGGGGCAGCAGAAGGGCCCAGCCATGAAGCTGAGTGACCTGGTAGGTGGCTGTACTCACTTGGCAGGGACATCGTAACCTAGCAATTCTACCTCTGGGAATCTGTCCCAGCGACACTGTCAGAGATGTGCAGACATTTATGTTCAAGGATCTGTATCACAGAAGGGACTCATTAACTACCTTATCAATAGGCCCAGCAGCCCTCAGATGCGTGTCATGGGAGACTCTGACACAGCAAAGGGCATGGTTTACGATAGTAAGTGAAGAAGTAACAGGATACATTATTCAGAATGTTATCAACCTGGAAATGTTTAGGTAAAGATATGTTTAAGGAGAAAAATAGAAGGACTCTTTACAATGTTAATGATGGTGAACTCTAGATATAAGAAAATACGGAATTAAAACCTTTTTCTTTGTCTATATTCCAATTTTTTCACAATAAATGTCTGATGCTTTTGTCATTAGAAATAAATTTCACAATAAATGTCTGATGCTTTTGTCATAAGAAATAAAGATTGGTTTTTTGTTTGCTTGTTTGTCGCCATGTAAGAAAAACATCTTTAAACAGACTTTGTCGGGAATTAAAACCTTTTTCTTTGCCTATATTCCAATTTTTTCACAATAAATATCTGATGTTTTTGTCATAAGAAATAAAACAAGATTGGTTCTTTGTTTGCTTGTTTGTAGCCATGTAAGAAAAACATCTTTAAACAGACTTTGTCCTTAATCCTGTCCTTCCAGTAACATATAACATGTCTTAGCTCTGGGTAGAGAACCCATTTTCTCCAAAGAAGTCCAAGTACCTGCTGAGTTATTCTCCTGCGCTGGTGCACTAAACTGGGCCGAGAAAGAGTTGGGTCTTGAGCAGGGCTTGGAAATGTATGCCTTGGTGAACACTGGGCTTGCATTGTCACCGGTGTGCGGTATGGCCTGGAAGAGGGTGCCTGTTGATCTCCCTGGGCCCTCCCAGCAGTGGTCTCTGCCAGTACTTAGGCTTCGTGCAGGGTCCCTGCCCTGTGGCTGACCAGGCAGCCAGCTCAGCTGCAAGGTGGCTCAGAAGTGCGAAACCTGCATACACCAGAGCAGGCGTGTTTGTTCGGGGTGCCAGATGGTTGGACATCCCCTTGTTACCTCCTTCAGAACTCACTGCTCTCCAGTCAGGTTTTTCTAAGCCCCAGGGCCAGGGGACGACAATCATAGGTGGCCCTGGGAACTTTCCTCTCTGCTGAGGCTGGGAAAGGGACAGCCGGTCAGTAATCTCCTCCCTGGAAGGCAGAGTCTGGAGTTGAGGATACGGCCTCAGGAGGTATGTTTTCAGAACCAGAGTGCAATAGGTGAGTATGACATGGATGGATGGGCAGCTCCTTGCATGGGCCACCCATGTCCAATGGCCTTGCCAAGGTGCTTCTGCCATTTGGTGGGGATTTAGGTCCCCATTGGTTTTGGAAAGTTCGGATGCTTCCAGAGAATTCTTGGGACAAATTTTGGGAGAGGACGTAGTGGAGAGAGGAAGGGGATACTTACGGGTGGCCCCATGGGCCCTGGAAGTCCTGGGGGCCCCAGAGGTCCACTCGGTCCAGGGGGACCTGGTGGCCCCGGTGGGCCCTGGATGCCGGCCTGGCCCTGTTCACCCTGAGGTTTGCGGAAACGAGTGTTAGAGAGAGACTGCGGGGCTGTCGAGCAGTCCCGCCCCAGTGCCATGCACCCAGTGAAGGCCCTGCGTGGGCGCTAGTGGGAGGCAGTGATGGCGTGACGGTGATGATATTTTGGTGGTGACTACATGCAGGGACTGGTGACAGCAAGGAGACGGCCAAGGCATTAGGAGGGACATTAAGACAAGACTCACTGCAAGAGCAGTTGGTCCCTAGGGTAAGTTCCCTGCTGCAGGTGGCAGAGGAAGAGGTGGGAGTGAGGTGACCCCTGGCCCCGAAGGTCTGCTCCCAGCCTGGTCAGAGGGCCAGAGTCCAGCCCGAGTGGTCTGAGACCTGGGCCTGCCTCTGCCCACTCTGGGTGGCAAGTCACATCCTCTCTCTGCGCCCCGGCCTCTCAGCCGCTGAATGAGAGCGGCTGCTCCTCCTTTCCTATCGTAGCTTTTTGCCGTCTTCGATTATCTGGCTCAGAGGATCAAATGAGATCCTTAGGTCAGAGGTCACAGAATGTTGCTTGGCTCACTAAACAATTGGGCAAGAGATTTTAAGTAAAAAATTTGGATGGCTTCTGATAAAAAAACTGGAAGCCATGGCAGTTAGGACCACATTCCTGAGGACAATCATCAAGTGGATTGGAGAATGGCGCCCCCTTCAGGTGGGGCCCGAGTTCTCCAGTTGCCTCAGTCCCCACTCTTCCTATGCTTCCTTTGTGCAGCTTGCTCCAGTCACTTATGTGTTCTGTGCCTGGCCTCAGTGGACAGTTGAGCTTGAACTCTTAGCTTGGCAGAGTTTTGAAACTGTAAATGCTTTATGCCTGTATGAGGTCGCTATACGCCCCCTCCTTAGCCAGCTGCTCTGAGCCCAGTCTTCATCACCCACAGTGCCCAGGAGGAACTGAGGGCCTGGGAGGCAGGGGTAGCATCGTGTTCCCTCAGGAGGAGGAGAGAGTCTGGTTCATGTGTCCCATATCTTGGGGCTAGGGGCCAGAGTCTTCCTAGATCTAGACACTGATACCATTATGTTACTTTTTAAGTGACCTCTCCAGGGACGATCTGGGATTAGCTTTTGTGATAAGAATCCTATCCTTGCAGATAATCTAACACAGAACAGCCTGGTGGGTGTGAGAGCTCCAGGCTGGGATGCAGGGGGACGCAGGCAGCAGGAGTTCCAGGCCAGCCCACCCTGCTTGGGGTGATCTCAGCAAGCCTCTGTGACACTTCTGCTTCCTGTATGTAAAGGGGAGCTGATGATGCTTGCTGCAAACTCTACAGAGGGAAATGATGCTTATATATAGGAGTGCACAACCTCAGAATGAGAACTGTAAGATTTTAGCAGCACCTGTTTGAACCATCTTTTGGCTGGGACATCTAGGGCAGATGGCACCCAGCAGTGTTACTCTGAGGCCGAGGCTTCATCCTGCCACACCCTATGAGAAGATGCTTGAGGGCTCAGAGTGTCTACTGGAGGAGGAGGCAGGTACAGAAATGGGTCATAAGTCCCATTTTACAGAAGAGAAAATTGAGGCTCAGGGAAGTTGAGTTTCCTGATCAAAGTCACATGGAGAATTCAGTGAGGGGCCAGGACCCCTACTCGAAACTCCAGACTATTCCTATTCATTCCAAATAAGCCCCCAGCAGAATTGCTCATCGTCCAACTTTCTGCACTTTGGAAATAACCTCAAACACCATCTGCTAAGCACATCATGTCTCTTATAAGTTTCCTCTTTTAACTGATGTTAGACCCAGCATTTAAGCATCTTACAGAGCCTGTAAAATCAATACTGGTTTATTGATAGGAAATGGACAAGCCTTTTTATGTCCCCTCATGGCTAACAGCATAAAAATCTTATTCTCCAGGCAGGGGCTGCAGCAGGCAGAATGGGGGCTCCTGTTCTTCTCTCTCTACTTTGGAAACTAGGCCAGGGCAGCACAGAACGTTCTGGCTCCCCCACCCCTTGCTCTTGTAAAGGGAGGCCTCTCTCAATTTCTTCATCTGTAAGGTGGGATGATGATGATGGCAGAGCCCACGCAAGGCCTCCACTGCTGGTGGCTGGTGTGGGATTACATGAGATGATCCACATAGAATTCTTACAACAGGGCCTGGAACCCAGCAAGGGCTCAACAAATAGCAGCTAATGTAGCTAAGCCAGGTGTTGGCTGCTAGGGGTTGAGGCAAATGGCTGCTTTGAGAGGACTCAGCTCTCCTGGGATGGGGTCTGGTATACGTAGGGGTGAGTGACAGTGGGTGGGCCTGGCACTTGTCTGAGGTACCAGTGGGCCCCCTGAATAGCCATGCTTGGGGTAAGTGCTAGGAGCACATGGAGGCTCTCGAGGATTTGGCCGGTGTAATAGGATATGCAGGCTCGGGTAGCATGTGCATCACGTATCCCTCTGTATTTTTAGCTGTTAATTGGAGTGATTTTTTTTCAGCCTTGTTCGATCAAGTGCCTGACATGCAGGTCCCTGGGCTCTTGACTCCTGAGTCAGGCCAGATGGTGGCTCCAGGTCCTGCTGTCAGTCTTTCAGAAACAGCACCCAGAGCCCTGCTGTTTCCAACATCCCAGTGGCCTTAGAGCCACCCCCTATGCAGTGTAAAGAAGGCTAGGGGCTTAGGTGGCAGCCATGGGCTGCTTGGCCAGGAACGAAGCTGCAGTGCCTTTGTCCAATCCCTGGGTCTGTGGTCTCTTGTTCTTTTTTCTTTGTGATCTGGTCCTCTCCCTTCTCTTTGGGTTAGTAAGGCAAGAAGAAGGAAGCAGTTGCTCACGATTACTATACCCGTTGGTTGTGGGCTACATTCCCTCTGCAAATCCCCTCATTCCTCAAACTTAGGCTACCAATGATCAGATGCTAATCAATCTGCATTTCTAAATACAAGAGTGTAGGGCCAACTGAGAGCCCTGGGTATAGGGTCTGAAGACCTGCCTGCCAGTTCCCATTCTACTTCTTGCTGTTTGGGTGACCTTGGGCACATGTTCACTTCTCTCTGAGACTCAACTTAATTGTAACACTTAAACAGTGCTATTCCAAGTGCTTTCCATACACAACCTTATGCAGTAGGAACTGTTATTATTCTTACATAAAAATGAGAAAGCTGAGGTGCAAAGAAGTTAAGTAACTCGCCCCAAATCACATAGCTAGTAAGAGGTGGAGAACCTGGGTGCTCTGCAATTTACTGTGTGACCTTGGGCAACTTACTCAACATTTCTGAACCTCGATTTCCTCATCTGTGGAATAAAGATGACCATGCCTAATTCATAAAACTGTTAGGAGAATTAAATGAAATCAGGCCTATAAAATGTGTAAGACAGTGGCTGGCACCCAGTGATGGCTGTTGTTGGTGGCTTTTATGAGTAGTAATGGGGTGGTGGCAGTTGTGAATCTCCTGGGTCTGGGTGTCGTGTTATTTGCACACCTGTGGCATTCATGGGTTCATTTTTGTCTAACTGAACCAAAGTAGAGTGAGGTTCTGACTTTGTCTCCAGGCCCCACTGGCATGCCAGGGCCCAGAGACTTGCCGAGCCCCTGGGGAAGCCACCCGTGATCTGGGCAAAGGGAAGGGATCTACCTGGAAGGTTCGCCTTTTTATGACTGGGGGTGGAGCCAGTCGCACTGAATTGAGGAGAGGCAGCAGCTGAGGAGAAAGATGAGTTGGAGGGCCAGAGGGCAAAGGCCAAAGATCGCAGGTGTTCAGAAGGATGCCGAAAGTCGCCAGGAAGGCAGGGCGGTCAAGAGGGAGTAGAAGAGAGGAAGAGAGAAGAGAGATTAGCCAGTGTGAGGCACAGGGAGGGGAAGCATGGATGGGGTACTCTTGCAGCTTGTGGGGCGCAGTGTTCAGCTTGCCCTTGGTTGGTACACCATCCCCGGCAGGAGGAATGGCCCTTCAGGTGTTGGCTGGCAGCAGCCCCTGACTGGGAGAGTGGCCTCCTCTCTATGGCCATGCTGGGCTGAAGAGGCTGCCTGACACGCGGCCCAACATTGCGTTGCTGGCCCTGCCTGTCCGTGGTCGTGGACGGAGGCTGCTTGGCTGAGGGCAGCAGACTCAGAGGCTCTGGCTAGATAGAGAGCCACAGGACCAGCTAAATTGATACTTTAAGCCAAGCTGGTGTGTGGCAACCTCTGGGTTCTTTTTTCGGTTGAAAGAGAAAGGCTGGTGTCAGCGAATCTGGGGAGATGGTTAAGGGCAGTGCCAAGCTGGGCTCCCGGGGGCCAAGCCGGCCGAGGGTGTGGCCGCTGTGGGCACAAGATAAGTGCTTCTGAGGTCTCACCCTGGGGCTGGAGGGCTTGGAAAATAGAGGCTGGGCAAAGATGTCTCTGACATGTTCAACCACTTGTTTGGCGGAAGCAACTTGCAATCACATTATCAAATGTGATTTTCATGTCTGGGAATTCTCGCTGCTTCCAGTCTCTCTCCCCAATGAAGCTGAGCACCCCATGGCTTTAGGAAGCGGTTAGAACCCATGTGAAAACAAAAATGGCATATAACCAACCCCTTATTTTTGAAAGCATTTTAACTCACACGAAGCCCTTGGGTTGAGTGTTAAGAACCAGGGGCCACCTGGGCTGAGACTCTGCCCAGCTGGGGACTCGCAGGCCCAGTCACGGCCTTTCCAGGTCACTGCTGCCTTCATGGGCAGCAGCTGCACCAAGAGCCCCACCCCCTTCCACTAGGGGTCTAAGAACGTGCAATGTTGGGCTCTGTGTCCAGGGAGCCTCTCAGAAGAGCAGGATCAGGAGACCTTCCAGAACCTACAAACCTTTAGGGTAATTATCTGGTTGGAGCGCAGAGCTGCTAGAGTGCTGCTTAGGTGCTCCTGGTGCGGGAGGGGGATGGAGGTGGCGGAGACAGGGCGACAGGGGGAGAATGAGTGCCAGAGCCCACAGACACCAGCCCCTCTGCTCCCAGTCCCAAGGACTCCGTCCCGCCCACTCCCTCCCCTCCTTCCTCTCCCTCACTGGGGGTGCTTTCTGCTGGAAGAGGCAGGGACCAGCCTGGATCTCTTGGTGTCTTGTGGACCTGGGGGCCTGCCACCCCGCCATGCCTGTAGACCCCTCAGCAAGCCAACAGTCTACTTGCCCTAGAAGCCCCTTGCTTTCCCACCCACTTTTAAATAAACGGAGGGTGCCAGTTGCCTTGCCCTGCCCACCAGCTGGGTCCCCAACTCTGCCCTCACCCCTGCCTGACTTGTACCCCACACTGCCGTGGTCATACCACCATTTTTTGCTGCACCCTGTGGACAAGGTGCTTCTGGAGGCTTCTATCTCTGCCTTCTCCCTCTTCCTGTGTTGGGCTGAGGGGCAGGGAGCCCTCTCTTCCCCCCACCCTCATGCGTTTGCTCAGGACTGATGACACCCTGCCAAACGTCTGCAGTTGTGTTGTCTTTTGTGCTGGGGGATGCTGTCTTTCTTTTGGGCAGCATAACAATCCTGTGAGCCCATAGTTTCAAATAAACACAGCTGACCTTCTATTATTGTATCGGGATCAGGCTGGCCGGAACACCAGGGCCCCGGTGTCCACTGACAGGCTGGCTCTATCTACACTACTTCCAGCCTGTGCCCCCTGCCCAGGCCCAGTCCAGCCTTGGCCTCAACCTCACCACAACTACTCATGTTCAAGGCTCCCTGAGTCCTCTCCCTGGTCCAGGAACCCAGGGCACAGGAGTCTGATTGGCTGGACCCTGCTAGCAAGGCCCTCTTCGTGGCTTTTCAGGGCCCAGTGGAGTCTGAGCCTGGCTTGTGCTCGTTTCTATTCCCCTTGCCACATCATGTGTGTGTTTCTGAGCACAATGAGGCCCATGACAGGGGAATGGACACCTGAAGATGCCTGTCCTTTCTACCCCTACTGCCCAGGTCAGAGTAGCAAGGCTGATCCACAAAACAAGGGGCATTTTGCTGATCCCGGCTTGCTGGGCCTCTCACTGGAGGAAGCAGTGCACACGTTCGCCCTTCCTATCCCAAGACTGGCCCTGCTGGGAGTACACCATTTGCAGGTCCTAATAGGGTGACTATAGGTTTTGGGCTCTGCACCCTGGGGTGGAGCCAGGAAAGGAAGAAGCTGGTGGGGGCTGGAGGGAGTGGGAGACCATCCCAGCCCTGAATCCCCCACCCTACTTGGAAAGAATCCTTTATTCTTCAAGAGGTAAAGCAGAGGCTTTGCCTTTGAACTGATACCTCTGCCCCCCCATTATCTCCCACCATTGAGGTTGGGTCATCTGGTCATGTGAAACAATGACTAACCCAAAAGTCCCTTTTATTTGGCTAGGGAAGGCAGACATGCACGCGCGCGTGCGCGCGCGCGCACACACACACACTTAACCCAAAAGTCCCTCTGATTTGGCTAGGGAAGGCAGACATGCACACACACACACACACACACACACACTCACACGTAGGGAGTCAGACACACAGACTCACACAAGCCACATGGTCTTACAGAGAAGGCCATGTGCAGAAGAGATGCACAGTGGCACGTGGAGTTCCGGATACATACCGGCTGGGAGACTCACAGCCCAGCCAGCACAGGACAGATACACGGAGACAGCATGGGGGAGGGGTGGGGGGGACACGAACGCTGGACACGGGCTCTGCACAAACACATACCACAACCCCCAGGCACACTCCTGGGCCGGGCAAACACCGCCACCCCCACGGCCCCTGCTCTGGCTGCTGAGCGCAGAGGGGGCTGTATGCTCCTGTTTCCAAGCTCTGTAGGTGCTGGGGGCCCCAGGGAGAGGAGGCTAAGTCAAGGGCTATGCCCCAGGATGGATCCGTTTTAGGGGTTCACTTACCCGGTGTGGGTACTCTCCACACTGACCCTGGGAAAGAGAGGGGAGGAGAGGAAGGTGTTAGGCTCTTGGTGGACTGCCCGTCAGGGGCACCCTCAGGACTTGTGGACGCACCACGCACACTCATCTCCCTCCAGCCCCGTTCTGGTCCTGGACTGAGCTCTCTGAGGCAGGGGAGCTAATTCCTTCCCTCATCCTGGCTGGCAGCAGGAAATTAACCACCAGGGCCTGCTTGGATGCGGCCCCATGGAGCCTACGGCTGGACTGCGCCTCCATGTACCACTTGCCACAACTGCGTAGTCAGGAGTTATGCCCCACGCATGGCTAGAGGTGTTTTCCAGAAAGGTCGCCTCCACCTAACGGCCCTGAACAGAAACCCCTGGCTGGGAAGAGCAGACAGCAAGACAGGCTGTGGGCAACGGGGTTCTTAGAGATGCCTTCTCTGAGCCAAAGTGCTGGGTTCCTGTACTATCCACCCAAGGGAAAGCCCAGCAGAGGCTCCATTGGCTATCCAAGGAGACAGAGAATGTAGGCCAGGCCAGTGGTTTATACACCGATACCTCAGAATCCTAGAGGCTCATGGAGGTGGGTCAGGAAACACCGTGGGGGGCGGGGGGCAGGTGGGAGGGGACGAGAAAGAGGCTAAGGAGGGCCAGGCTCCAGGCCACCCACGCCCCCAAATGCTAGTGCAAGAAAAGAACGTGAGCAAGAGCGGCTTCCCTTTTTTCTCACACACCTTGGTGCCACGGGGAGCTCCCTGGTTCTGCTGGTAAGAACTGAAATTTGAAAATAACCACTGTGGACCCCTTTTTACCTGTTGGGGGGATGTTTCCCGAGATTAAAATTCTAGAAAACCTCCATCAGGCTTACCTTTTCTCCTTTTTGTCCTTGAGGTCCCTACAAAGAGAGAGAAATGAGAGTTAGAAACTGAAGCTAAGGACACAGCGGCCCGAAGCCTTAATGAGGAACATTAGGGCGATGTACCAACCGGCTGTCCTCGGGGACCTGTCAGGCCCTGTGAGGAGGAAACACACACAGGTCAGTGGGGTGCACAGAAAGTGAGCAGATTGGAGACTCAGGCATGCATGAGGATTGTGCTAGAAGCAGGGCTTCCAGTCCCAAAGGCTGGGCTCCACCACCCATGTCTGGTCTCCCCGTATCTGAGATGTTCCAGGTGATGTGGCCTGTATAGCATGCCTCAGATTCTTCATCTGTCAGTGGGCATGACTAGCTGTGCCCTGCCCTCTGTGCATGGCCATGATGAAGAACAAATGCCATCCTTCATTCATTCCTCCACCCACCATCATCTCATGGGCCTGCTAGGAAGGAAGATGCATTTAAATGTCAGGCAGGGCTCTGCCACTGCGGTTGGCCTGCCTCACTCATGCCCATCCCCTCTTAGCTTTGGAGAAACATTTGGCAAAAGAGAGAAAGCAGAAAGTTCATGACTTAAGCCATGTCCTGGGCTCCTTGGAGGAACATAAAAATTTTGGAGTTTCCTTCGAAGATGTCTTGTCAAGTTTGTAGGGCTGAGAAAAGAGGCTGGGTTCAGGGTGGACCCATGTTTCCTGAGGAGGACACAATGCCCAGATGGCTCTCTCAGGAGCCTGAGCTGAGGCCAGTGTTGAGGAGGCCTCATGGCTGGGATGAAGGAAAGAAGGGAGGACGAGTGCCTCCTGTTTTGAGGGCCCACTCTGAGGAAGGCTTTCAGTACACGCTGAGCTCACACCCACACTGGCCCATGAGATAGGTGCTTGCATCAGCTCCATCTCCCAGACGAGGGGAGGGAGACAAGGCTTAGCGAGGGCTGGCACTAGGACATGAGCCCAGGTTTGTCTGATTGTGAGGGTCCAGCTGTTTCCACTCTGCCACGCTTTCTGAACTGGGCTGGACCTTGGGAGGCTGGGCTTCTAGACTTGGCTAGAGCCACAAACAGTACCCCAGTCCCTGGGGCCTGAGGTCCCTTCCAGCCACCATCCTGAGGGCCTATGAGGACCCACGTGCAGGACCAGTCTCTTTGAGGCTTGAAGAACTCAGGATCCCCGGGAATAGATCCTTCTAGGTAGGAAAAGAGCCTTCTCTTGCCCCCGACTAGCCAACTGGACCAACCACCAAACTGGGAAAGTCCCAGGAGGTTCATGAGAGGGGACAAGTGGCCTTTGGGACAACCCATGTGGCACTCCAGCCCATGTGCCTGACTAAGTGTTTAGTATTAAGTTCAGCAGAATATAATGCATCTGGCGGAGACCATACTGCAGGTGACTAGAGAGAGGAGCGTGGTGAGAGGGAGAGGGCCAGGGGCTGCACAGACTTGGAGGCATGAGTCCCACATGGTGGCCTATGAGACAATCGTGGTCCCCGGAGGTATTTGGTTGATCCTATACAGTATTATTTCAGTTAATTGCCAACAATTAAGAGCACGAAAAGCACAACAAAACCTGAATTTCAAGTTTCTCTTAAATATTTCAAGGTCCAACAACACATGGCATCAATTAGCTCTAGCCGAATAGCAGCTGCCCCTTCGAGGTAGGTCATGGGGGATGTGCTGGCTAGGGTGCTTGTCATATTTCCTGTGTGCCAGGCACTATTCTAACCCTGTGGTGTGAATTAACTCCTTCCATTCTAGGACAGCCTGTGAGTGGTGAGATAAGTGTGAATTCAGAATTCCGACTCTTCTTTATGGCACTTGTGGGACCCCGATTCTGTCCACACCTTACACTAGGTTCTTAGGGCTACTGTGAGGTAGATGGAGCAGAGGTAAACTCTTTGGACAGGTGAGGACAGAGGTTAAGCACGTGAGGGCGAGCCCCAGGATCCCACGTTGGAAGCCCAGTAGAGGAAAAACCATCTAGGGAGGGAGGGAGGTGAGTGGGAGACAGACAGATGATAAGCAGGCCAAGATACTTACGCCCGACAGCGTGTTGAATTAATAGCCTGGGGTTCCCATGCCAAGTCAAACAGGAGCCTAATGGCTCTGTGGCCTGTCAGATTTTGATGGATGTCTATGAGGCAGACAGGGACTCTATCACACTGATGTGGGCTAATGGGAGATAGGACTGCCCCACCCTTTCCCCCTGAGTTAGCTCTGACTCCAAAACAGAGAAGTCTCATGGATAAGGTTAAGTGGGGTAGGATGGAGGGATGGCAGGAAGAGGAGCCCCATAGAAGGGTTCCTTTGCTTCAAGACGAAGGACCCTGGCAGCAGAAAGGAGGCATAGTAGAGGAGTAAAATCTCACCACTTGGGTCTTAATCTCAGCTCTGTGATTTATGGGCTGTGTCGCCTCAACCACTCTGTGCCTTGATTTCCCTTTCGTTAGAGTGGGAATAATCAGTCATTATAAGTCATTATAGATTATGACCATTATTATTACTTCTGGGGTGTTCAGACTATATGTTAGCATCAGGCCACCCCAAACTTCTGGCATCCAAACCCCTATGCCTCCACCACAGCGGCAGCATGGAAGTTTATTCCTGCCTCGGTCTCCATTACTTCCTGCATGTGCACAGCATGCTTAGGAACAGGGGCAACAAGAAATGCTTTTGTAGTGGAAGCAGCTGGGTTGGAAAGGAAAGCTGGCCAGGGGACCTGGATTCCGGTGCCAGCTCTTCCACCCACTGCCTCCAGTGCCTCACTGCCCTTCTTCCAATTCTGTGGATATTTCAAGGACTTTCCCGCCCCAGGGCCTTTGCACATGTTGTTCTCTCATGTCCAAAGTGTTCTTTCCTATTCTCTTTCCTCTTAGTTCAATGCTCATCCTTAAGGTCCCAGTTCAAGTCTCAGTCTCAAGAATGCCTCTCTGACCCTCAGCTTGGGTGAGGTGCTGCTAAGCTGAGGTTGCTCAGGGTAAAGGGCACTGCCTTTTCACAGCACTCAGTACAAAGGTGATTCGTTAATTATGTCTCCCCCACAATGCTGTGAGCTACAGGATGGCAAGGACGGTATGTTTCTTAATCCTGTCTGTATCCCTAGCACCTGGCATGGTGCCCAGCATATTGTAGATACTTCATAAAAATGTGTTAAATGAAGGAAGGAGGCAGGGAAACAGGGAAGGAGAAAGGGAAACAAGGAGAGAGGAAGGCAGTAAGATGTGGAAGGAAGGAATCTGAGAACTGGTTTGGATCCTGTTTTGGACACCGCCCACCCCCCTGCCCCCCCGGCCCAGCTGTTTGACTTCAGGCAAACAACTTAGTCTCTCTGAGCTTCAATTCCCACAGCTGTCAAAGGAATACTAATAGGACCTGGAGCACAGGGTCATGCTGAAGATTAAGTGAGATAATATATGTACGGTCCTTAGCCCTGTGCCTACCACATAGAAAACGTCAATAAATGTTAGTTGAGTCTGAGTCAAGCAGACAGGCTGAGGTCCAGAGGGGGCTGAGCTGCAAATTAGGGAGAGCCGAGAATAGAGCCCAGGGCTTCCAACTGATACTCTTCTGTCTCTTTTCCCATTCACAAGGTTATCCACCTCCCTCAGCAGACGGGGTTCTAGCCTCATGTGTCCTGGCAGGGCCCCACTTATAGGTGGAGAGTGTCCTCACCAAGCACTTGGAGCAAAGCCCAAGCCTAGAGCCTGGCTGGACAGGGAGATGGTGAGCCTGTCAGGTTGCTCTTGCACCTGGCACAAATCCCAGGCTTGCCCACAGGAGGTGGCTCGTCACAATGGAGATATGACCAACCTGGGAGGCAGGACAGCATCCCAGGCAAGGCTGGCCCATCTGCTCTTAATGGCCCATCAGTCCCACTGAGACCTACTCTGGAATGGATGACCCCTGACAAGGAGTCATCCCTTTTGGAAGGAGTGGCCTGGGGTGACTGTAGAGAGAAAATTCCTTTAAAAGGCTCTGCAGAGGTGGAAGGGGCCAGATGGAAGGTGGGGGCCACGGTCTGCGTCTCCAAAACTGCATTGTGCCCAGTGGGGGAGAGGTGCCTGGAGTCCTGGGGCAGCCCAGAGGACAGCTGGCACAAGAAAACCAGACCGAGGATGAAGTTCTAGATGGGCTCCCTACCAGCCCCAGTGTGAATGCTGAATGTAAGCTCATGCCCAAGGGAGTGCTAGCCTCTAATTCCATGTGACTGGCCAAGTGTGGATTCTCTCTGGACCTTGTTTTTCATGTGGAGCAGTCCCCTGCCCAACTCTCCTCCCCACATTGCTGGGAGCACCTGCGGGGATGTGCTTTATAGAGCTGGGAAATGACCATGGCAGCAGCCACTCTCGCTGTCCCTGTTGGGTCCCTTTGCCAGGCAGTGCGTAGCTGTGGCTCATGGGGGCCAAGCTAATCCCTCACCCTGCGAAGGAAGGTAGGAAAGCTGGGGTCTTACCATTTCCCCTTTTGGTCCGGGGTGGCCCTGGAAGGAGAAGATCATAAGTGCCAGGAATGTTGTCTGCAACCCAGAAGCCCCCCTTTCTTGCCACATGTGGCTCCACTCATCTCACCTTATCCTGTGAGATGAGTGGACATGACCACCACAGTTCCCTTGCTGTGCTTAGCTCTGGCCTGCAGCGGTGGAGTGACCAGGTGAGTGGCTGGGCCCCTCATCTAAGAGGATGCCAGCTGCTCAGGGAAGAGGACAGTGGGTGGGGCTGAGCTCAGCACCCATTGCCTTCATTTGTGGGGGACATCTCTGAGGGTACTGGAGGGTTGAGCTCTCCCCCAGCTCACTTCTTCCTAAGAGTGGGGAGGGGTCTCCTTTCTCCCATGAACATTTGTGTCTGGGATGAAGTCAAAAGGATTGAAATGAACAAACACAAGACAGGAAAGCAGCCCCTGTGTGGACTTGGACACGTATGTGGGGGTCTCAATTGGATGGCAGACCCTGGGAGAATGGGAGACACAGAAGGTGCCCTGGCAGTGCTGGGGAGCAAAGGTGTAAGCGAGTGCCCAGGCTCCTTTTAGAATTAGCTGTTGAGCCCTCTGCTCAGTCTTGCCCTGCTGCCCCCTTGCCTCATTCTCTACCCAGCTCTGTGCCAGGAATGC